CATTTCCACTGAGGGAGTTGCCTCGTTGGAAGACAACCGTTTGAAGACCTGACGCATGCCAGAACATTGTTCTCGGGTCTCCAGCGCCATGGATCAACCGGACTGTTATGTCTTGACGATCCTGAATCGCACCACAAAGCCAATCCTAGGATTTCAACACCGCGGATCAATGTAACTGTTGCACCTCCATATTTCTGAATACTTCCTAGCACAATTTCTGGTAGATCGTCGGATTCCGTGAAGTTCTTGCAATGTGCTGTGAAACGAATGTGCGCGGCGCTAAGGCGAGAGCCACAGTTTGAAAAGGAGCCGCCTTCAGTCCTTGAAGCTCTTGCGATTTTTGAAAAGGGATTTGGACGGCGCTAAGGCGAGAGGCACATGTTGAAAACCACCCGCCCTCAATCCGTGAAGCTCTTGCAAATGTTTAAATCGAATGTGCGCGGCGCGAAGGCGAGAGCCACATCTTGAAAACGGCCCGCCCCTCCACTTGTGAAACTGTTGTTGACTCATAAGCTGCAGGGTCATTAAGGGTTTGGAAATCTCAGGCGAAACGCCCGGCGCGTCCTAAACATTGGCTCTGGGGTGCGACAAGGAGAAGATGTTTCTAAGGAGAAGGAATGGAGGAGGAGGAGGAAAAGGATGAAGAGGATGAGGAAGAGGAGGAGGAGGAAGAAGAGGAGCAGGATGACTCATGATTGGGAGGATGTGCAAAATGATCATACTATGTGGGGGGCAAACATGAGGAATGGAGGGAATGGCTCCCGACGGCGAGGGAGAACCAGAGGAGAATGAGGACGTGCGAGGGGGGCGGGAGGCAATGGTAATGATAATGATGCTGCTGCTGCTGCTGCTGCTGCAATGCACCCTCCTGTCCCCCCAGACCTCGTCATAACGCCCTCTTGGCTTCCATTTTTACCGCAGGAAGCCCCCCTGGAAAGACGAGGGCCCCGTGGGCATGCCAGTGAAGCGAGAAGCTCATCTTGAAAGCCACCTCCATCCACCTCGGCAGCCGCTGGAGACCTGTCAGACGAGTGTGCGCGGCGCGAAGACGAGCGCCGCGTTTGGGCGCGTACCCTCTCCAAGGTTCAGGGCCAGGCGTGGTGAGAAAGACTCATGCCACATGGTTGAAGCACCTGGTTGTGCGAAAATCGTCGCCGCCGCTGGGTTCGCCTCGAAGTCTTGGTCAGAAAGCACTCCGGAAGAGATCCAGGGAGTAGCGATATCGGTACTTTCTGGTTTCCCCGGTTGGGGGAGGAGCGGTGGGATGTGAGGTGAGGGGTGGGGAGCGACTGGCCAGGGAGGAGAGGCACAGTGCGGGGAGGGGAGAAGGGAGAGGTGAGAGAGGCGAGCTATGAGTGCTCGCCCCATGTATAACACACTGCCCCTACCGGTCATCCCTTCCCACTGGGGAGGAAAGGGAGGCAGCGGAGGAGCTAGCAGCCTGACGGTAGGCAGTCGGACGAGGAGGTTGCTGAGTCAGGAGGGGGAAGAGGAGGACTAGCCGCATCAGGAGCGGGAGGAGTAGAAGGAGGAGCAGGAGGTTCAACGGGAGGAGGAGGGGAAAGGAGCGGGCGGCAACGAAGAGGAAGGAATTGGATCCAGAATTGTGGCCCGCGCCGGGGTGAGAGCGCCATCTTCATCGACGGGAGCAGCGCGCTGATTGTGAAGCGTGGCCACCGTTGCCGCGGGGGCCATATGTTTGAAGGACCAGTTCATACGTTAACTACACTGTGATGTGGTCAAGGTCTGTGTGTCAAAGACAAGACACTACGTAGGAGAGTTGGTGGCCAATCAACACAGCATCAGGAGAGAGACGGGACCGCAGTCGTGTTCTGTCATGGAAGAGGGGAGGGGCGTGGGGATGGACAGGGGGGGGAAAGACGGGAAGGAATACAGAGGGGATGGGGAGGGGAAGGGGAGTGAGAGTAGCGAGAAGGGGAGGGGAGGAGCGAGGGCAGGTTCCCCTCTTCCCTTTTCCCACTCCAACGCTTCAGCCTCACATCCTGCTCCTCCCACACATCCTCGACCCTTTCCTCCTTTCTCTGCTTCTCTCCTCCTCCTCCTCGCCCCTCCTCGCTCCCCCTCTGTCCTTCCTGCCACTCTCTATCATCCTCCGCCTTCTCCTCCTCCTCCTCCTCCTCCTTCTCCTTCTCCTCACCCCCCGCTCAGCCTATCCCTCCTCCGCCTCTTCCCCCGCCTCCGCATCCCTCCTCCTAGCTTCTCTTTTTCCTCCTTATCGTCTTCCTTTTACCATCATCTGTCGCGCTCCTCCTCATCCTGATTCTCCTTCTCGCTCCTCCTCATTCCTCCTCGTCCTGCTTATCCATCCTCCTTCCTGCTTCTCCTCGTCGTGTCGTCGTCATGCCCCTCCACCCTCCTCCACCCTGCTCCTCGCCTTCAGCGTCCTCCACCATCCCTCCCGTCGCCGCCGCTTCCCGCAGGTGCCCTGGAAAGAGCTTCTGAGATGGGCGGGCCTGGAGGCTCCCGAGTGGGGCGTGGGGGGGAGGGGGAGAAGGAGGAGCAGCAGGGGCATGCTGTCCCACTCGGTGGCAGAGGGAACGCCGTGCTGCGCCGGCGGTCCTCACAGCCTTCGGACTCCGTGTCTGCGGGCCCCGTGCTCTCTGTCGGCTCGGGCTGTGGGCTGACGAGGCAGACGCCGCCGAGGCCCACGGAAGACTGCGTGCGGCACAGACCGCACAGCTCGCCGATCTGACCTACGGCCAACCCTTTCCATACGGACGCGCGATGAGGATGCAAGGGCCCTGGAAGGCCGTGCCGACACTTTGCGGCCGGGGCGCGGCAGGGAAAGCGGCCAGGGATGGGCCGAGAGGTACGGATGCAAGGGTGCCCCTGGAGCGTCGCTCATGCTTACTATGCGGGTTGACTTCAGGAGGGGCAAAAACACACAGACACAATCAATCGTCGATTCCCGGGAAATATGGGAAAATATGGGAAGTGGGAGGGATGACAAAAACCCAGAACATATTGAAAATATGGGGAATCCTTTTATTTGTGTGTATTTATTTGTGTGTCCCAGGGCCCCTTCATGACTGCAGGTTAGGAATCTGGTTGCGCCGCGACGGATGGTGTGGCACACCTCGGGCCGCCGACGCCGGGCTGCTTGGTCCGCGGCGGGCTGGATCCAGCAGGCGGGGGTCGGCCGACGGCGGGGTTGCGTTGGGCACAGCGCAGCGGAAGGGGGCCCGCGGCGGCCCTGCTCGACGACGGCCTTCGCGCGGGGCGCGCTCGATGTGACTCTGCAGGGCGGCGCGCGGAAAACACCCTCCTCCTCCTCCTCCTCCTCCTCCTTCTCCTCCTCCTTCTGCTTCTGCTCCTCCTCCTCCTCCTCCTCCTCCTGCTCTTCCTCCTCCTCCTCCTCCTCCTCCTCCTCCTCCTCCGGGCTTCTGCGGAAGATTCGCAAGGGTCCGAGCCTCCCGCGAAAAAATCGCGAGAGTCCATAAGCCACCGCACTGATTCTAGTCAGCGGAAAACAATATGGAGACCAGGCAGGAGGGGGAAGAGGGGTGATGGGCCGAGAGACGGCCAGAGCCAAGGTCAGGCTCGAGTGCCTGAAGCTGTCGGGACGTGCCCAGGCCGACTCCAAGCTAAAGAGGCCAGGCACGACTCATCCCACGGGCGCTTCCTGCCCGTTCTGTTTCCCTTGCGAGGCCACGCGTCACCTGCTTGCGGTAAGAGCACCAGCACATGCAAGCATCACGACCGCGCCCGGCGGCCTGGCGAGAGGCTGAAGCATGGCCTGCCTGCTTCCCACCGTCCCCAGGGGGGCTGCGGAAAGGAGGCAGCCAGCTGGCAGCAGGCCTCGGCGAGGACCAGCTAGGTCACTGCGAGGCTGCCCCCCTTACCCTAGGTGTGGAACCTGGGGGGGGGCACTCTTCGCCGTCACAGGGCGAGGCAGAGCCGCGGCGGCCCACGATGTTTTTCAAGGCGGCCTCCACGCGCCGCGCGTGCTCGGCGCGGGCTTCTCCTCCTCCCCCTCCTCCTCCTCCTAAATCCCGTCCTCCTCCTCCTCCTCCTCCTCCTCCGCCTCCTCCCCCTCCGGCTCCTCCTCCTCCTCCTTCTCCTACTCATCATCATCATCATCATCATCCTCCTCCCCCTCACCCCCCTACTCCTTCCTCTGCGTGTCGGAAGTGAGATGTCCAACTGACGCCGAGGGTGGAGTCGGTGATACGGCACGGCGATCCCATACCGTGGTCGTGCCAGGCAGCGCTCACCATGCACGTGCAGTCGAGCATGGGAGCTGCTTGGTTGTCCAGGGCGCTGGCGAGGTCCATGGTCTTGCTTGCGCGGTCGTTCTCGTGGTTGCTTCGGGAGGGCGGCGTTGCGAACGTGGTGCCCGTCAGGACGCCATCCTCGGACCCGAGCGTGGTAAAATGTGGCGCGCCTCGAAGGGTGTGGGCAGAACGAGTTCGCAGTGGCCCAGGAAGCCCATCATATCTCGGTGATGGCCGTCTATGGCGGACACGTCTTGGATGCAGATTACTAAGGCACGACTTGTCCCTCAGCTTGTCGTACCAGGCCACCAGCTCCAAGACAGGTGCCACTCTTGGAATCCACGGTGCTGGAGATGGGACACGCATCGTGGGCGGTGGAGACGGGGGTCCGGGCCTGGCAACCCAGGGAACCCTTCGCGGCATCCTCGAAGCGCCGCTTGATCTCGGCGCGGACCGCCTAGTAGCAAGCCTTGGTATCTAAAACGGGCTGGCGGGCGTCGCAGTGGCCCAGTAAGCATTGACGCCTGCTGAGCGGCGAGTGGTGACGACGCAAGACGCCCCGAAACACCTCCCTTGCGCGGGTACACGAAGGGGGGGGTGCGCCACTTACTGCCAGAGTGCGGCGCTGCGGCCGCCTGGGCAGGCGCCGGTGCCGCAGACCGAGCGAACTCTGCGCGAACGATTCATGCACCCAGGCTGCGGGGCCCGCACCCCCTTTGGAACCCAGTGGGCTCCAAGGACGTCTTGGGTCAAAATGGCCACGGAGCAGACGGAAGGAGGACGAGGAGGAGGAGGAGGTCGAGGAGGAGCAGCAGCAGCAGGAGCAGCAGGAGCAGAGGCAGGAGCATGAGCAGGAGGAGAAGGTGGTGGAGGAGCATGGTGAACAGCGCGGGGGGCGTGGGGCGAGGAGGAAGGAGGAGCGAGGTGGAGCGTGTGGGGGGGAGCAACAGGGGCAGCAGCAGGGGGACGCGGTGGAGGAGAACTGAGAGGAGGAGGAGGAGGAGGAGGAGGAGGAGGAGGAGGAGGAGGAGGAGGAGGAGGAGGAGAAGCAGGAGGAGGAGGAGGAGGAGGAGGAGGAGGAGGAGAAGAAGTATGAAGAGGATGGGGAGGGGTGGGGCGAAGGGAAGAGGGGGGAGGACGGCACGAGGAGGGGAGGACGCAGGAGGTAGGGGGAGGTCGAGGTGGGGGGGGCAGCAGGGGGGTAGCGGAGGAAAGTGGGGATAAGTGGAGGAAGAAAGGAATCACATCAGCAAGGAAGATAAGGAGGGGATGCGACCTAGGCCTGCGTCGGACCCCTTTGGTCTAGCGATGCTCTTACTTACTACCCAGGAGGCCTGTGCAATTTCGCTGGTCCCGGCACATGGGATCGCCACGATGTCTTGATGCTATCTAAAGAGGTTCAGTGCAGGGGTTGAAAGAAAAGGAGGGGTAGGAGGAGGAACCAGAGGATGAGGATGAGCAAGAGCAAAGCAGGTGTATGATGATGAGGAGGGGGACGACGACGACGACGACGTCGACGATGAGGTGTGTCAGGACAGGTGGGGATTAGAAGGGGAGGTGGAGATGACGGAGGATGAGTAGGGTCAGGTGTAGGTTGAGGAATTTGGCTATGGCATCTAAGCTTGTTGAGATCAGTTGATCTTGTCGTGGAGGTTGTTTGGGGCTTCCACGAGGCCATGCCCAGTCAGCAGCGACAGAAGCTGCGTCATGCCATACCTGGCTGAAGGCGTTGCTCTTTGTATGTCGTAGCGTATTGGAATTGCTGGTTGTCTTAGTTGTTCCAAGCGAAACAAGGATAAGGACTACGTAGCACCCCGCAATCACGGATAACGGATAAGAGTGAGGGGGCGGCGGGGATGTCGGCAGTCTGCGAGGTTCTGAAGAAGCACGCCGCAGGTGCTTAATTTTTACAATAAATACAACGAGCCAGCCGCAGGCGCCGACTGTTCGTTAAAGCAATGTGGGTGGGTCGCGGGGTGGGTCGCGGGGTGGGTCGTGGGTGGGTCGCGGGTGGGCCGCGGGTGGGTCGCGGGTGGGTCGCGGGTGGGATCGCGGGGTGGGTCGCGGGTGGGTCGCGGGTTGGTTGCGGGTGGGTCGCGGGCGGGTCGCGGGTGGGTCGCGGGGTAGGTCGCGAGTGGGTCGCGGGTGGGTCGCAAGGTGGGTCGCGGGCGGGTCGCGGGCGGGTCTCGGGGTGGGTCGCGGGTGGGTCGCGGGCCAGGTCGCGGGGGGGGGGGACGCCGCCAAACAACAACAACAACAACAACAACAACAACAACAACAACAACAACAACAACAACAACACCAACAACAACAACAACAACGACAACGACAACGACAACGACAACGACAACGACAACAACATTAACAAACAGACAAACAAACACACACACAAGCACAACATCAATAACAACAGCAGCAACAACGACGACAGTCATTTGTTCAAGACTATTATTTCCGATCTTCTCGAGTGTCATTCAACGTGTATTTTCCAACCCTTGATGCCCGCCCTCTTCGCCTTCGATCGTACCCTTTTTGGGGGGTATATATTTCTTCCCTGCAGGCCGGGACCCGGCATGCGGCGGGGCGGCTGCGGACCGTCGGCCTGGCCAGCGGCAGCGCTGATCGGCGCCAACCCAACCCTAAGATGAACGGACAGGGGACCGACCACGACGACGACGACGACGACGACGGCGGCGGCGACGGCGACGGCGACGACGACGACGATGTGTTCGAGAAGGGTGGCCCTCTGGTCCAGCCCGTGGCGCGAACGAGAGCGAGAGCGACAGCGACAGCGGGGCCACGAAGGGCAGGAAGGGGGTCACGAAGGGCGACGGCGGGGCCACGATGGCCATGCGTATGGGGCCACGAACGGCGCGAAAGAGCGGGGGCCACGAAGGGCAAATAATGCGGGGCCACAGAGGGAGGGCAACGACGGGGCCATTGAGGGTAGCAAGGGGGCCACGTAAGACAGCGAGGGGACCACAAAGGGCGACGCCAGGGCCACGAAGGGCGCGCGCACGGGGCCACGAAGGGCGCGAACGAGCGGGGGCCACGAAGGGCATGCGCATTTTGGGCCGCAGAGGGCAAGGCTGGGGCCATTGAGGGCAGCAGCGGGGCCACGAAGGGCATGCATATATGGGGCCACGAAGGATTGCGAGGGGGCCACGAAGGGCAGCGAGGGAGCCACGAAGGGCTGCAACGGGGCCATGAAGGGCAGCAACGGGGGCCACAAAGGCTGCAACGAG